TCATCTGGAAATCTACCATTCCAAATAAAGTAAAAAAGTTTCTTTTGGATCCTCCAAAAATAAAAAAACACTCCAAACGAGAGACAATCTTATGAAAAAAAAGGATGGATAGGAGATCCTTTATGTCCCCTATGCCAAGCAGGTCTGGAAACAGTTGATCATCTCTTTTATGAATGTGATTCTCATGGAAAATTTGGGACTCCTTTATGTCTCGTTTTCCTTCAGTACAGTGGCCTATAACTCTTAGTATTTAGTTCTTCTATCCAATGGTAGCTTTATCCAGGGTAAAAGACTCAAATTATTATGGAATATCTTTTTTCCCACCCCTTGTTGGTATTTATGGAGAGTAAGGAACAACTTAGTGTTTTATGAAGAAGGTTTTGAGCATCAAAAGGTTGCCTCTAATATAGCACAGTTTGTTTTGTTTTAGACAGAGAACTCAAATAAGAAGAAGGCTAAAATAGTTCACCAGGTGGTTAAAGAGCAGGGGAGCTGCTATAGATTCGAGGTCGAGTGAAGATGTAGTGGGTGCAAACTGATAAGCACTCTCTCATTCACATGTGGGTGTCTAGGAAAAAATAGTCAGTTGTATAAAGTCTTTTGCTGTTTCTTTCTAAGACTATGTTGAAATAATATACTATGCATTTTCATGCTGGGTGTTCTAGCTCGAAATATTTTTGTTGCCTGCCTGCATGAGTCACTTAGGGTTTAGTTAAGAATATACATCAAACATCCATGATCTAAGTGACAGGTGACGAATGGTCCACTCCCTATTCTTGGTTATGTATTGTTTGATATTTTCTTAATCTTTTATCGTTGTTTAATTTACTCAAGATATGACAGTGTTTATAGCTTTTAATGAAATGAACGAAGCCCCTCGCCCTGTTTTTCCTTAAAAACCTTATTATTTCACCACCTTTATAGTTAAATACTCTAAGCTGTAAAAAGCGTCACTTTAATACTTTAAGTTGTAAAAAAAAAGTAGCATTGTAATACTTTAAGTTGTAAAAAATAGCACATTTGTATCTTCTTTTAGTTGCACACGTGATTAGCACATGGTGTTTTTACAATTATATTGATCCCATTTACTGTGATATTAATTACTATACCTATCTTCTGTCTTTATATTAAATATTGCACTTATTTCTATGAAGGGGTATTTTTATCATAACAAGTTTTTTAAAGGCTTTTACAATATTATGATGATGGACAACTTAAGATATTTATGTGCTACATGTTTTTTTTTTTTTTGGTTAATGAAGCTTTATTCATCTTCCAAATATAGAATGTTATGCACAACAAAATCTCAGAGAGACTGAGATTACAAGAAGAAAACTACAAGCACCACTGTGCATTAGAATTTACAGTGTGCACATCCATTCCTTATCTTCAGCCGAAAAAGAACCATTGAGGGTGACTGTTAGGAGGTTGAATTTGATCTCTTTGAACAATTGAGATGCTGGCTTATCTTCCTGTCTGAAAATCTTAAAGTTCCTTTGACTCCAAATGTAATATATTGTTGTGGTGAGAGCCATTTTTTTGACTTTTTGTTTAAAGCCATTCCCCCTCAAACAATGGCAATACCAGTTGATAATTTGATTCCAGCAAGTAGACTGCCATTTAAACTGCAACCAGTTCATAACCATGCACCAAACATCCCTTGAGTAGAGACAATCGAAAAAAAGATGATCTCTGCTCTCTGAACCCGAACACCAGCAACAGGAATTTACACTCACAATATTCCTCTTAAACAGTCTATCTTGTGTGAGTAATCGGTCTTGTACTGCAAGCCAGCTGATAAAAGAATATTTGGGCATATTTGAGTTAGACCAAACTGCTTTGTGCCATGGAACATCTGAAACAGTAGGAGAAAGGGCAGAATACAGCTTTGAGAGTTGAATTTTAGAGTTGCTGTCACAATTTTGAATAAGATTCTTCAGATTCTCAATTCCACCATAAGTTCTCAATGCCTTGTCCCTTATTTTCAAGATGCTTTTCCACACCCATGAATCACTACTTTTTGCTTGGACATGCCAGACATCATTATTGCTTAAGTATGAGCCATGAATCCACTTAATCCAAAGACTTTCCTTATTCATATGAATAAACCATATAGTTCTTATAGTAGCAGCAAAATTCCATAGAGAGGCTGAATAGATGCCAAGTCCACCTTGCTTCCTGCTCTGACATACCTTATCCCAAGATATAAGAGCAATTTTGTGAGTGTGATCAGTTTTGCTCCACAGGAAGCATCTGCACATTTCATCTATTTTCTTAAGAACTTTAATAGGGAGGATATAGTTTGATAACCAGTAGGTTTGGATACACAGAATGATGCTTCTAATAATCTGCAATCTACCAGCATATGTAAGCATTCTGTTCTTCAAGCTGGACTGAAAATGACCTGCTATACTGTTCAAGAGTGAAGAGCAATCACTGAATGATATTCTTTTGGATATTAATGGAACTCCCAAATATTTGATAGGAAAGACCCCCTCATTGAAATTTAAGAGTCTGTTAACAGATCCCTTAGTGTTATCATCAACTCCTCCATAAAATACTTTGCATTTGTCTGGATTTGCTTCAAGCCCAGACACAGTACAAAAATCTTTAAAACAATTGAGGAGCAGCTCCACTGAATGAGAATCTCCTTTGGAGAATAGTAGAAGGTCATCAGCAAACAGAAGATGAGATATTTTGAGCTTACCACAACCTGGATGATACTTAAAAGACCTGTTCTCCTTAAGCAAGTCCAGCTTCCTTGAGAGAAATTCCATACCCAAATTAAATAAGTAAGGAGAGATAGGATCTCCTTGCCTTAGACCCCTCTTGCCTTTGAAATACCCATGAAGAGTACCATTTAATGATAGAGAGAATTTGGGAGATGAAATGCAAACCATGATCCAGTTGGTGAAAATGACAGGAAAACCTAGGCCTTTTAACATCTCATGTAGAAAATCCCAGTTAACAGTGTCAAAGGCTTTTTTGATATCAATACTCAACATAATTCTAGGAGAGATATGCTTCCTGTTATAGTTCTTCACAATCTCATTAGCAAGAAGAATGTTGCTAGAGATTTTCCTTCCTTTAACAAATGCAGACTGACTGTCATTAATCAAATAACCCATCACAGATTTGATTCTATTGGCCAGAATTTTGGATATAATTTTGTAGAGACTATTGCAACAAGCTATAGGTCTGAAGTCTGATGGAGTCTTGGGACACTTTACTTTTGGAATCAAAGTAATGGCAGTAGAATTAATCATGCCCAGAATTTTACCTGTTTTAAAGAATTCCAAAATAGCTTCAGTTACCTCATCTCCAATAATGCACCAAGCTGTCTTGTAAAAGGATATACCAAATCCATCAGGGCCCGGAGCTTTCCTATCATCCATTGAGAAAACAGCATGTTTAATTTCATCTCTGGTCACAGCTGAAGCTAAGAAATTTATTTGAGCATCATTTAAACATGGACCATTGTGAATGACATTAATATCAGGCTTGACTAGAATGGAGCTTGAACCCAATAGTTTCTTGTAATATTCCAGTAGCTCCTGAATGATTAAGTCGCAATCAGTGATTCTGTTTCCTGCACTATCATAGAGAACACTGATTCTGTTGAGATGCCTTTTAGCTTTGACAGCTGAGTGAAAGAAACTTGAACTCCTGTCCCCTTGAGTACACCATTGAATCCTAGATTTCTGTTGATAGAAAGAAATTTCACACTCCAGCAGCTTGTTATAAGTGAGCATGTATTCTTTTTCCTGTTCAATCAAATCAGCATTAAGAGGATCAGATTGTAGAATTTTTTGAGCATTCTGCAGAGTTAACCTTGCTCTGATAACTTGCTCAGATATATTATGGAAATTTTTCTTATTTAAGTCTCTGAGAGCAAATTTAAGGAGCTTCAATTTACTGGCCACCGAAAACATGATACAGCCTGGAATTTTCCCCTGCCAGATGGAAGTTACAGTGGGTATGTAGTCATCATGTTTGCTCCACATATTGAAAAATTTAAAAGGTTTTTTCCCTTGGATACATTCATCATATATTGACACCAATGCAGGAGAATGATCAGAGCAATTGGGTAGCAAATATTCAACATGGCTAGAGTTATGAAGGTTAATCCAAGCATCATTGACCAGAGTTCTATCAAGTCTACTCCATACTCTGGTAACTGCCTCTTGTTTGTTGTTCCAAGTAAAGAAGCACCCTTCAGTTTTCAAGTGAGTAAGATGACAGTCATTTATAAATTCCCTGATATCCAGAGTTTCAGCCTCAGTCACCATGGCTCCACCTAATTTGTCTTCATCATCAGTTATAGCATTGAAATCACCACTGAGAATCCAAGGCTTATTACCAACTCTATGTTGAATTTGTCTTAATTCAAGCCAAAGAGTTTTCCTGTTCTCCATTTGATTATATCCATAAATAGAGGAGAGAAAACAGTCTATTCTCCCATCTGTGGATTTGACTAGGCAGGTAATATGCTGAGGAGAGTAACTGTCAACTTGGATGTCCAAAATATTAGGATCCCATAAAATCAGTATTCTAGCTTTGGAAGAATTGATAACATTTGAATACCATTTCCAATTACAAGCAATTTTCCTTGCTATAATGATAATAAACAATATATAGGATATTTAAGTGCTATTTAGCCTCACAAATATAAAAATTTTTGAAATGTTAACTCAGAATAGATAGTTGGTTTCTTTAATAAAAAAAAGGTAAATAATCTAGCATTTGAAATGGGGCAAGGTGCGTGCAATGAGAATAAAGATCCGATTTATGCTTCTGACTTTTTGACCTGAGCGAAGCTTTATTTTTTTCACTCGGGGGCTGTATAATTTACGGGGGGGAAAAAAGATTTTTCATTCTTTTAATGGGGAGCTGCACGTAAACTCCGAGAGCCTATAGATCCCACCTTATTTCATCGTAGACCCACGTTAGACAGGGATTCAACCTGATACGTCGTATTGAAGCTTCTCAACAATCCGAACCAACCACGGTGAAAATAATTTTATCTTTGTCCTTACTAAATTAATTAATGTTTTCCTAAATTAAAAGCAATAATTCTTGTCAAACTACAACCATCCATTGTACCTGAATCACCAGCAGCTGAGGCTCTCCGAGATCCACCCTCAAATCCCTAACCAACCTCTCCATCCTCCCCTGATACTCCTCCGCCTCCTCCCTCTCCGCCGTGTCGCTCTCCCCCTGATACCACAACACCGCCCCGATTCCTCCCTCCTCCCCCGGTCCACCGCGCCCTCGCCCCTGGCCCACCATCTCCCCGTAAAGCCCTTACCCCCCGCGGACCCACTCCTCGCATCCTTTGCCGTCCCACCAACAGCGCACGCGCACCCAGCGCCCCGGCATCACCGCCCGCCCGGTTGGCATCGTGACTTCGACGGCGTTGGCCGAAAAAGCGGGAGGCCGGGGCCCCACTCGCGGTTACTTGTTTCGGCCGTCGATGTCCGGCGCCGTGCGACGGCCACGCGCCTCGGCGCGCCCGATCAACCCAGCGCGAGGCTGGCGTTCCGAGGCCGTCGGCAGGATGGCAGGGGCCCGAGGCGACGCCGGAAATTCTGAGGCGCGCGATCACGCTGGTCCAACGTCCTTGGGGCGGCCCGTGTTGTTGGAGACCCCACGCGCGCCGGACATGTTGCTCTGCGCCCTGTACAGGATGAAGATGAGCTTCGATGAAGGATTGGAGCTTGTGTAATTGAATGCATTGAGGAGGAGAATGAAGAAGAGGGCTAGCATTGACTGTGAAGCGATTTTTTTTCCCCCACAAAAATAAAAATCTTTTTGATATTTTCTTTGGTGGTGTGTATTATAGTGCGTTGGTTGGGTTTTGTATTATATGGTTTGTACGTTGGAGTGTCTTTTTTGGGTGTTTATTATATAATTTCAAGTTTTCAACTGGGATTTGAAAAAGGAAAATGATAGGGATACACCTCCAACCAAACTCTCCTCTCTCATTTGCTATAGTGCACCGGGCCCCACATGAGATTTTAAAAATTAAAATCTCATGTGGGGCCCGGTATACTGTAGCAAATGAGAGAGGGGGTATGGTTGGAGGTGTGGTTGGAGGTGTACCCCTAGTGCCACCCTTTGAAAAATACACGGCCGGAAGTGAAATTGCGCAAGCTGATGTGATGATATATATTCTTTGAAAATTACTTTCCTTTTTTTGTTGAATATACGAAAAAGAGAGAGTTCTATACGTTGGTCGATGATTATGAAGGATGGTGCAATACCCTTTTTATCTAATGAATTAGCCAACTTTAATAAGCAAAGGAAAATTCTAATCAGCAAGATATATACTATGTTTAACTAATATATTGAATCTGGACTTATCTATTAATGATAATAATTCTTATGGCATCATACAATTTATTGGAAGATATTATGTCAAGTAATGTAAATCTTGTGAACATGTCACCTTCGACAAGACTAGTATTAAAAACCACATCGATCACTTTGGTCCATTTGGACAACAAAAATACTCGAAAGGGATTAATGATTGTGAGTAGGTGAACTATTAAGAGAAGAAATGGTGTATTGGTGTAGTCCACACCTTTTGATATAATAATTAGGGTAAGCCTCACCACATTTGCATCTCTTAGTAGCTCCATTTATAAAATGAGCTGTCACCTCGTATCATTTTTTTTTTTGGCCTACTTGAAAATAGATTTCAGAAGTAACTTCCAAATTTATAAGGTAAAAAGTAGCAGAAATAGTACTTACGGTTTATTTGTACCTTACTTTTTCTTTGTTTCACATATTTTAGAAGTATTAAGAATACTACTTATTTCTCTTCTCTCTCTCTCTCTCTCTCCGCGCGTTTGGACATAGGATTACCAAGGGAGAGGTCAATAAAAAAACTTTTGAGTTTTGTTTTGTTTTTGTGTAAAGTGTAAAAGAGCTTGTTTTAAGGATTGATGTTATAAGATGAGCTATGAACGGATTGCCGCGTGTGTTTGATAAATCAACTTTCTTAATAGCTATACTTTAACGGTTGCAACAAGGCGCTCATACTAATAATGTTTTTGTGTTAATCACACTAATGTAAAAAAAAAGATAAATGATCTGATTTGAATTAGAGTGTTACATAGACAAAATAGTGTTGGACATTAGGCTTCAGACCTTTTATATTATTGTGGATTGTTGGAGCACACATGCAAAAACATGCAATAAGGAGCACGAGCACAATCATAGCACAAAGAGTTTTTATGTGGTTAGGCCAAAGATGCCTATATCCACAGTCCCTCATCTGGAAATTTCAATACCTTCATAAACCAATACAATTTATACAACTAATATAAGTGATACATACCTTGCACGTACAAACTTGAAAACCCTCATACAACTCACATCTCTCAAGGAACTGAGAACGTTGATTACTCAAGACCTCCAAGAGGTTATCATCACACCACATCACTCAAATAACCCGAGAACACCGGCCACTTAAGAGTTTAAGAGGATCCTCCCTCTCCACAAGAAGGTGAATTTCTCAACACTAGCACATCCATTTTTAGGCTCCAAAGAGAAGTTCAAGAAACTAACTATTAATGACTAGCGTATTCTTCCTAGTCAACACAATACACTCTATTTATGAGATTTGGGGAGAATCCTAGCACATATTGGTTGAAGTGGCTTATGGGATTGCATCTTACGATGATGCTTGTTATATCACAGGCCTCTTTAGTTGTTTGCCCTAGAAGAAAAAAGTATTTCTGGTATCAAAAAGTACTTTAGATTTATATTGGAGTTATCGATGTTCTGCATCCTATAATGTTTTTGTCTCGATATGAATTTCAGTAGAGAGATTTAGGGTCTATTTGGTTGTTCACGGTAAATTTGTGTATTATGACACAAGTTGAAAAGTCGATGTCCACCTCATCATTTTTACTTTCACATTGTTCTTTTCTTGGTTTGGATTCCATTAGAATCATAAAGTGCTTGTTCGGTTTGCATAATGAAATTTTAGAAAGTGGTACTTGTGTAGACCACATCCAAAGACCGTATTATTGTAATAAAGTTGCTCTAACTCAGTTGATAGTATATTTATAAGGTTATTTGCAGTTAACTACCCCAGTCTTTTTGGAAATCGCCTTCGGTTGTTAAATCTGGTACCCCAAAGTTTTCTTTTGCCTAAAATTACTATACAATTTACCTGATTTTTAATTTTGATGCTCCAAAGGTTTTTTATTTTTTTTATTTTTTGCCTAAGATGAACCGTAAAGCTTAACAGCATTTAACTTTCATTCCTCAAAACTTTAACAAAAGTCTTACTTTGATAATTGTGTTGGGATTTTATCTTTAATTCTTTGTGTAACTTCATGAGAATTAGATAGGATTAGAGTTCTATCATGATTAGGAGTTTGGGTTCTATCATGATTAGGAGTTTGAGTTCTATCATGATTAGGAGTTTGGGTTTTATCATGATTAGGAGTTTGAATCTTATTCTAATTAGGAAGTTAGGCTAGAGATAGAGTTTTGGTTTCCCTATATATATATTCTTCTATTGGTGGAGGAAAAACCATGAAGAAAAAGTAGAGATGTAGTAGATGAGAGAGAGAGAGGGTTTCGTAGTCTTTATCCGTGCAAAAGATTGTAATTTGGAGGTGATAGTGGATTGATTTTGATCCCGTGGTTTTTTCCTGTTGAGGGTTTTACACGTTAAATCTTGTGTGATTTTATTTATTGCGTTTGGTGGTTTTTTGGGGGTTTTTACGAGATCTAAAAATTCCAACAAGTGGTATCAAAACAGGGTTCGACGATTCGTGGAGATTCGAGATTTGCAACGACATTGGTGGCAACGAAACTGTAGTAGTAGCACTGTTCACCGTGGTACTGTAGCGTAGGAACTATTCACGACTACACACTGTTCACGGTACTATAGTGGCGGTATTGTAGCGGCGATAGATCCGACGGTTGAGGTTGCTTTGTCTTTTGATTGAGGATTTGGAGGCGGATTTTGGTGATCCAGGAGTTGTTCCTAGGGTTTTTCGACATGCTGAATTTGTTTTTGGCATCAGTTTAATCAAATTCAAACTCTACGATAAGGAGCAAGAGTTGGTTGGTGTGTATACTCGAGGAGGATAGTGCCAGATTAGGTGGAGCTTGCAAGCGGGCACTACCGAGTGACACACATGAAGATGAAGATGGTGGCGTTGGACTTGAAGATGGTGAGCACTCATATTCAGTCCAAGCCAAGTAATGGAGGAGAAGCATGGTTGATTTTCTTCTAATGTCAGAGGTGACAAAGATCTCTTGGCTCGAACAAGAGAGGTGGAGGCGTCAAGGCGAAGCAGAAGATAGTGAGGATCATGAAGGCATCCAATTGGGAGTGCAGGTGTTCTGATTTGAAGTGTGAAACAAATAGAAGACTCTAGCGGGAGAGATAAAGTTTCAAGACGACGATGATATATCTTTTAGGGAGTTTGGGAATCAAATCCAATGTGAAGATTGTTGGGATTTTGTCTTTGATTCTTTGTGTAACTTCATGAGAATTAGATAGGGTTAGAGTTATTGGCCTTCTTGTTTTGATGATGTTTAACAAACAATTTACCACTAATGTTGTTTGTCTAGTGTTTGTTTAACAAACAATTTACCACTAATGTTGTTTGTCTAGTGTTTGTACATTCCTATGTATTGTAGACAAACGACGTGTTGGAGGATGGATGGAATAGAGCTTTAACGATGATATCCAAAGGAGGTTGGCGGAATGTCGGGTTGAAGCCTATACAATTCAAGTTAAAGATCAAGTTCAAGCTTCATCCGCAAGTGTACCAAGTCAAGCTTAATTGAAGATCAAGATTACTTTGGTAATGTAGTTTTAGATTTTATATTATGTGTGTTATATACTCTAAGCTCAATATCTATAAACACACATTTATTGGTTTCTTCATATATATATATATAGTTATATATATATATACATAAGTTTTGGTTTCTATGCATATATATAGTTATATATATACTTTATTGGTTTCTTTGTATATATATATAGTTATATATATATACATAAGTTTTGGTTTCTATGCATATATATAGTTATATATATACATACATAGTTTTTGAGTTTTCATGTTTATAATATGAAATCACATATTTCATATTTACTATTGTGTTTTTGAAAACATTGCATAGAATATGCAATTTTGTGAAAATATTATATTCTTAGTTTGTAGACTTCAATATCAATTTATACATGTTTTACTAAGTCTATAAAAATATTTTACAAAGTTTCAAAAGTTGGTCTATGTCAAAACATCAAAATTCAAGTATCTCATATTTTCATGTTTTGGACTATTTTGTAAAATGATGATATTTTTCATTTGGGAGGTCCTTTCTGATAACCAGTCACTGTAGCATGTTTATTATCATGTCTACAATCATTCCCCAAAGTTTTACATTTTTTGGAATTTATTTGATATTTTTAAACAGTATTTTAAAATCAACAAAACAGTTTTTGAATATCAGTTTTTGGTCGACCGAACCTGTCGACCGAACCTGAGTTCTCGTGCTCACTGTGCGACAGAGAGTCTGTCGGTCGACCGGTCCGGTCGACCGAAAGCTCCATCGGTCGACCGCACCGGTCGACCGACGAAGTCTCTGCTTGTTTCTTTGTTTTTCAGACCTGCTCGCGGTCGACCGGATTTTCCGTCGGTCGACCGATTTCTTTCTTTCGGTCGACCGAACGTTCTGTCGGTCGACCGCCAATAGATCCGTTAGACACTAACGGCTATTTTTTTGAGCTGTCTTCTGGGGACTTTTCTGTCATTTGTTTTGGGGTTTTGGCTGAGTTTTTATGTGGGTATAAATACCCTATTGCTGTTCTTTCTCTAATGAACTAATGAGAGTTTTAAAACAAGTTT